ATTGCCAGACTCATCTATATGCTGATGTCGTCTGTCAGGTGCAAACTTACCACACCTGCAAATGTATCTACAAGAGGACTTTTATTCAATTCAAAAGTGGCTCAACAAATATGCTAAAACTAAACATGAAAAAATTTGCCCGCATGCTCTTTGAATAAGAGGAAACAACAGAAGAAAATAGAAAAAGATATGCATAAATAAGAAAATAATAAAGAAATAAAAAAACAAAACAAAACACATTATAAAATTGATAAAATAATCATATAGAAAAAAACACAAGGGGTTAACGGTATTGAGCTTTCACGTGTGGTACTGTTTTGACTAATTTCACAGTACCACACAGTTCTAATGAATTTATTCTTTAATGGAATCAAAATAATGGTTATGAACCACAGAAACCACCAACAACACGATATAAGAGAAACATGGTATTACTTAAGGGAAATTGTACTTCTTTTTCGCATATGCTTATAACCAATTGCTTTAATATATAATTGTACTTGTAATCACTTATTTTTCATGCAAATATACTATACAACAGTATCCCTGGTCTAGGAGAAATACAAAAGGACTAATGGTAATTTTAAGGACCTGATGGCCGCCATTTTGAAAATGCGGCCTTTTTTTGGAGTCAAACTTTGGTAAACTTTTAGTATGTTTAAGTACATCTGATACTACAAACCACTGAAAAACCTTTTGTTAGAATTTTTTAGGGGTCAAGTCATATTTGCAGCTGACTATTATTGATCCAAAAAGGAAATTGTGCATTGGTCCCTTGCTCGCAATTATACAAACATAGGATAGAGTTAAATGATACAAAACAGTTAATAAAGATGATAATGTGGTGTCACTACTTACTTATAACACACAAGTCTCCCTTATTGTGAAAGGCTGGTTTATCGTTGGGCGGAAGTGTGATGTTGTTTCCCGCTGTTTGACTGTTAACAAATAAAGTTTGGAGAGACTCCATATTCTCGTCCTTTTCATCCTCCACATTGGTGACCCCGACGTTTGAATTATGTCAACCGACGCCTCTTCGTCTGCTTCCGCGGCTGCTGCACCGGCTGTTTTTGCGGCTACTATTAGACTCCCGGATTTTTGGCAGAATGACCCGGAGCCCTGGTTCCAGCATGTGGACGCTCAATTCCACCTGCGCGGCATCACCACAGACGACACAAAATATTTCCACGTCGTTGCGGCTTTGGATTCGGCCACGACCCGCAGATTAATGGGGCTGCTCCGGGACCCGCCTGCTGCCAACAAGTACGAAGCGCATAAGAGGGCGTTATTACAACTTTACCAGCTCTCGGATATGGAGCGGGCCGATCGCCTATTGTCACTGACTGGTTTAGGCGATAGCAAACCAACGGAGCTGATGGAGAATATGTTGGCCTTGCTTGGCTCCGGTGATGTTTCGTTTCTTTTCACCCACCTGTTTCTGCGCCAGCTACCGCCTCAAGTACGCACAGCCCTGGCCAACTCTCCCCTCATCCGCACTAAAGATTACAGGGGTTTGGCTGAAGAAGCGGACAGACTTTTGCTGGCCTCTCGTCAGGTTTCAGTGCACGCTCTGTTACCATGCGTGCCAGAGAGCGAGGAGACGGTGGATGTCGCCGCCGTTACGGAGCGGCGGAAGAAGGAGAACGGCCTGTGTTTCTACCATCACCGCTTCGGAGTGAAGGCTCACCGCTGCATCCCACCGTGTTCCTTTCAGCGGCCGGGAAACGAGAAGGCCGGCGCTCGCTAGCAGCTGCCTGCACCGGCAATGACAATAAGCTGCTTTTCATTGAGGACAGCGCTTCAGGACGTCGTTTTCTCGTGGATTCGGGGGCACAGCGGAGCATCGTGCCCCCCTCCTCCGCTGACACTTTGGGTCAAAGTCAAGGGCCCCTACTGGACGTGGCTAACGGCACCTCCATCCGCACGTTCGGCACCAGGTTTCTGACTGTGTGTTTTAACGGCCGTGTGTTTAGCTGGGACTTTGTAATAGCTTCTGTTTCAGTACCCATCTTAGGTGCAGATTTTCTGTGTGCATTCAGACTGCTAGTGGATGTAGCTAACAGATGTTTGATTAACTCTGTGTCTTTTGATACATACCCGTGTACTCTGGGTATCGCTGGGCCGCTGCTCGCTAACATGCTCGCTATAGGGGACTCGTACCAACGTCTTCTCGCTGAGTTTCCTGCCCTTACAGTTCCTACCTTTTCTGCCGCAGTAGCTAAGCACGGGGTTGAGCATTACGTCACTACAGTCGATCCTCCTGTTTTTGCTCGCGCGCGCCGTTTAGATACTGCTAAATTGGCCATCGCTAAGGAGGAGTTTGCCAACATGGAGCGGTTAGGCATTGTGCGCCGCTCAGACAGCCCGTGGGCTTCGCCCCTGCACATGGTCCCTAAGTCTGATGGGGGCTGGCGCCCTTGTGGAGATTTCCGCCGTCTCAATAATGCTACCGCTAACGACAGGTACCCGATCCCTCACATTCAGGACTTTTCGGTGCATCTTGCAGGGGGGTGATTCTCACGAAATCTAGATTTAGAAGGTGACCAACATCAGAATTTAAAAAAGGCACTTGAAGCTAATTTTCTTTTTGCACATACAAGATTAAGATATTAACTTATTATAAACATTATTTTTAGAAGATTTAAAAAAGTATTTCCTTTATATTTATATACATTTTTCGATGAAGTTGATGAAAAATTATCATTACCGCAACATGACATTACATTAAATATATGGTAAAAAATGTGCTGTTTTGGCTCATTTTAAAGTAGAATCTTATTACTATGGCTCAAAGCTATGCAAAACTCTGAAAAGATAAGTTTTTAATTATTTTTATCTTTTGTTATTTCCTTATTTTCTCTCATTACCGAAACATACATGATGATTTACAACTTATTTTATTTAATTATTTTACAAAAAAATAAGATGCACATTTTTTATGTAGCACACCGTAAATATATATTGTTTTATAATATGTATATACATTTTTTCACAAAATATCATTATGTAATCATTACTTAATTTATATAAAAGATACATGTTGCGGTAACGAGAGAGCCATTTCAGGAATGAGGATCAATGTTTCAGAAATGAGATTTATTTCAAAACATTCACGGTTAACAAAGGGGTTTGATGCCGAACCCTATTTTATTTAAAACACATACATTTTCAACAAAATATATTTCATATACACTGTTTCATTTTCTCATTTACCTTAAACATAACAGTACCATGCCTTGTGTTAACAAGTGCTGTGTATACAAGTTACAATCTTATGCTTGTAAATTCATTCAGTCATGCCCTGTGCTGTAGCACTAATAAATATACAACCATTAGTATGAATATTATTATAGTAAATCATACACACGTTCCTTCATGAGAACTTTGTCAATGCAACATGCCATCATGTGGTCCTGAAAAAAACATTTGAATGCAACAGCATTATGTGCTCTTAATACTTAATAACTATCTTAATTTAGATATAAAACATTGGTCCTTACAGTCTATCAACCACACAACCTTTTTTTCTGAGAATAATCTCTTGAACAGCAGCAATTAAAACAAACAACTAGAACCACTGCTTTTTTGCCAATCATGTTTTCCCCCATTTGTATCTCATGAGCGTTTTTTGTGTTTTGCCCATATGTCAGGTAAAATGCAGAAATGCCTAGCAGAGGAGGTAGCAGGAAGTGGTTCTGGGATTATGTCCCGTATGTCCTGACGATAGTACCAGACCCTTTCTCCTGGAAATCTGATGCTAGGCACATAGAAGCGGTTTTCCCCTGCACAAGTCATGGTGTCGACTTCATACTGCCCTTCAGCAATCTGTATTAAGAAACATTTGTATAAACATTTTCGTTGGATAATTTAATGTAACTGCAGAAATAATCACATATTAACAAAAATCTTTAAATTTAACTTACCTGTGTGACTGTACCAGGGAACAAGTCACCATCATATTCAACTAGGACCCACTGCCCAACCTCTATGGTGGCCTCGGTTCTGTCAGAGTCCTCATCTCCTTTCTCAGAGAGGACATGGCAATTTGTGGGAAAACACTGGCAGTTTCTCCCACAAAAGCATGACACCTCACGTGTGTCTATGACTCCCGGTTTTGTGGAAGCTAGCTGTTAAAGTAGAATACAAAAAGAAAAAGATGAACTAAAGTATCACATATAGAATATTTTGGATACTGGTATGGTCTGCTTTCCATGTTAATTTAACTTAATTTAGTAATTTAACTACATTTATCCATATTTACTCATACAATTAATATAAATGTTGACTTACCTGGTGTATTTTCAGTGTCCCAGGAACTGTTTCCAGGTTTGGGGGAACTAATTCACAGCTGGCTTTTATTTTATCCTCTGTTACTTTGTACAGAGTCACTGATGAATTGTTTTTGAGCTGCTTATACAGACTCTGCATCAGGAATACTGGTCCCATAAGAAACAATTCTGTCTGCAAGATTCTTCAAAGCCCCACCTACTCCATCTGGTGCACCTTTGCCATGTGATGCCTCAGTGAAGTTCCAGGTCAGCCATTGAAATCCATGCATAAAAGGCACAGTGGAGGCTAGATAGAAAGATGTTTTGTTTCTATACTGGGATGTTGGGCCATCTGAAATGAAATGTAGGTTGTGGGCTTCAGGATACTTTTCTCGTATGTATCTTAGCACTGGGTCAAGATGAGCCCAGGTTGCCACTGCATCGTGCTGTAAGCAGTCTGAGAGGGATGCAAAGGCTTCCACTCTGCCTCTGCTGAGATAGAGTACCCCAGTGTGGAGGGTTACTTGATCATTCCCAGTTCCAAAATGGGTGTCCTTGATTTCTTTGGCATATTTGCAGCTGTAATTTTCACTGTAATCTACATGCACAGCAACAGCATCATCTGCCAGGGTATCTTTCATTTCTTTCAACTTCATATATTGGTGCTTGACATTAAACATGTGAATGGCAAAACCAGGAAGGTGTTCTGTTGTTAGGGCCAGCAACCGCTCAATGGATGAGGTACGATTTTCTAGGAAGGTTTTCTTTGTCTGCCTTTCATCTGTAGATCCATCCTTTCGGGTCTTTGTAACAATTACAGACCTTGTGATCCACTCTTGCCAAATAACAGTGTTCCCCTGAGTGAGAGGATCTAAGAATGAAGGAAAGGTCTTTTTGATGCATTTTTGACATCTGCCATACATGCAGGACATGTTGCCAGTGTCACACACACTGGACTGCACAAGATCCTCTGGGCTTGATGTTTCAATGATACCCAGTTGTTCCATTCTTTTTATTTTAAAGGCAATGTTCTTGTGCATTTTACATGCACACGTCTCTCGGTCTTTAACTTTAGGCCTAATGATCCAAAATGGCCTCAATCTAAAGAATTGAGCTTTGGACACGGTTTTCTCAGGATGTTCAGAAAGGAATCGTCGATGGAGTTTTGCCAAGGTGTCTGTGAGTGCTCTTTTTCTATAAATTTGTCCCTTGCGACGAATCTCTCCAGCCTTGCCATTTATGACAGTTGAGATATCATCCCGATGTAGGAACATGCTTACAACCTTGCCAAGTTGTTTTTGTTCGGCAGTCTCTTTTTAGCCTCTCTAATCCTGGCCCTTTGTGAAATCTCTGCTGGTAGCCTTGGAATTGCACTTTTTGGTTTAGCCTCCAGCCGTCTAATTTTTCTGTTTAGTGACAGCAGTTGTTTTGTTTTTGTCCCAAGTTTCTCTTCAACATACTGTAACTTTGCTCTTAATTTGGCCACAATCTTTGATGCCCGCTCTCTTTTTTTAATGACTGGCATTCTCTGGGGGGTGGATGCTTCCATTGGCCCTGTCAGGTCTAAACTTTCTTCTGCTGGTGTTCCGTTCAGATTTTCATTATTTGTGTCCATTTCCTGTCTGCTGGTTTCTTCTTTTGCAAAAGAATTTTCCACCTCACTTAATGACGATGCTGGGGTTAGATCAAGAAGTGCTTGCTCTTGTTTTTTTTTTCTGTAATATCTTTTAGAATTTTTCCTCCATTGTATTTTTTTTCTCTCATGCTGTCTACTGGTGAGGTCCTGAGTTGTCTTAATTTGACCATTTTGTTTACGCTTCTGATACCTGGGAAAGGAAAAAGTGAAATGCAGTAAGCACTGACATAAATACAAGTGTGTGAGTGTAAACACGCATACACATGTCTGTGTTTGAAAGAGTGTGCATGTATTATATATACAATTATGTCAGCAAATTATTCCCTAGTATCATTCTGTCACCTAACCTCTCTCGCTCCTTTCTTCTGTGCTCCTCAAGTAACGCTGGATTGCTGTATATTTTGTCCCTATGCTTTGCCAGCCTGTCTTTCGCAGATGCCCTTTTCTTTTCAACTGATGCTTGCCTGGAAAAAAATACACTATTTACATATTGAATGTAACATTTTGTAAAAACACATAAAAACACATAAATTCACATTAAAATGATTTAGAATTTAATATTACATTTATAGTAGGTGGCCTGTACTGCATACAAAGTTTTTTGTGGAAGCACTACATAAAAAGGAGAAATTATTGACCCCTACTGGGGGGGTTGTAATAGCTCATTTGTTTACACAATCTGTTCAAGTGTTTAAAGGCAAATATCAAGTTATATTGAAATGAGCAAGAGTTACAGAGCATGTCCCTCCTTCATAAGTCTCATTCTCATTACCGAAACATTGAGTCTCTCCACTGCAACAGGCCCTCAATTGTTGCTGTGGATGATAATGGTGTTGCGGAGGATGAGTGACCTTAAACATTCTTGCTAACTGTGAAAGCACCATGAGGGTTAGCTAAACTTTCCCGCACTTTTTATGTTTAGACCATAATGGGATATGTAATAGGAAAAAAATGAAGATGGCAACATTTTTTTCAACTTCACAAATTCATGTTTCAGTAATGAGGAAAAAAAAGTCAGGTAGGTACTATGACAAACAACATTTTGACTTTTTCCTGGAGAGGAAAAAAAAGATCTGCTTACCTGGTAGCCATCTCGAGTGTCTCAGTCAATTATGTCCCTTCCAACAAAATTCCTTGAAAATGTAAGTTCCTTGAGGACTTCAATGAGGATTTAAAATTGTTGCGGAGGATGAGAAAATTGGTCTTGGACACATTTATATTCCTTAATATTGTCATGACATTTACTAAAATCTCATCAAATATCACATGTTTCTTTACTGTAAATGTTTATTGGATAACATGCACCAAAGTTTTTTATTTTTTATATTTTTTCATTATTAATTTTTCCATCTCAAAGGATCCAAATCCAGTCATGGACATGTAATGAGGAATTTCCCCATAAATGTGGAAAAAACAACAAAAATGGTTTTTATTTTGATATTTGAAATAATGTGCAAAGTACTACATGGAGAGATGTTTATAACTGTATTCTTCTTATTTTGATAGCATTTACTTGTATCATCAAAATGCTTCATGACACCTTAGGAATCTTATTTTGTGAGAACATCCCAGTGAGCGGTTATTTTCTCCAAGGTTGATTTGGTGAGAGGTTACCACCAGGTGCCGGTCCGTCGCCAGGACGTCCCCAAGATGGCGGTCATCACTCCCTTTGGACTGTTTGAGTTTTTGAGGATGCCTTTTGGCCTGAAGGGCGCGGCACAGACGTTTCAGCGTCTTATGGACTCTGTGTTGCGAGATATGCCTTTCCTCTTCGTGTATCTAGACGACGTGCTGGTGGCGAGTGCTTCGGTGGAGGAGCATATGTCACATCTTCGCCAGCTTTTTGAGCGCCTCAGTCAGCACGGACTTATCGTCAACCCTGCTAAGTGTCGTTTTGGACTGTTGGAGATCGAGTTCCTGGGACACCGTGTGTCACGGCAGGGTGCGGTGCCTCTTCCTGCTAAAGTCGAGGCGGTTTTGGCTTTTCCTCGCCCCTCCTCTGTGAAGCCCCTACAGGAGTTTTTGGGCATGGTTAATTTTTACAACCGTTTCATCCCTCGGGCAGCCCACATTATGCACTCGTTGTACGATGCCTTAAAGGGTAAAAAGGGTAACCAGGACATTGAGTGGACCCAGGAGAGGTCACTGGCGTTTGAAGAAGCTAAAACAGCGCTTGCCGAGGCCGCCCTTTTGGCCCATCCCAAACCTTCTGCGCCCATCGCCCTTACCACTGACGCGTCCGATTATGCCGTCGGTGCGGTTTGCGAACAGTGGTCGGATGGACACTGGCAGCCACTGGCGTTTTTCAGTAGAAAGTTGCGCGACTCAGAAAGAAAGTACAGTACATTTGACAGGGAGCTCCTGGCCCTTTTCCTTGCCACACGCCATTTCCGGTTCCTCTTAGAGGGCCGGGAGTTCACCGCTTTTGTCGACCACAAGCCGCTAACGTTTGGTATGGCTAAAACTTCTGAACCATGGTCATCTCTACAGCAACGGCATCTTTCTGCCATTTCCGAGCTCACGACTGACATTCAACACGTGGCTGGTAAGAACAACCTGGTTGCGGACTGCCTCTCTTGTGCACCGGTCGCTACTGTGCATCTGGGGATCGACTACGCGGAGATGGCTGCGGACCAGCTGACGGATTTGGGAGTGCAGGGGCTGCGCACTGCTGACTCTAGTTTGAAGTTGGAGGATGTTGATTTTCAGAACAGCGGGGCGGCCCTCCTTTGCGACATCTCTATGGACAGGCCGCGCCCGGTGGTCCCTGCTACCTGGCGCCGTCGCATTTTTGATGCTGTGCACTCCCTGTCACACCCCGGAGTTAAAGCTTCCGTTAAGTTGGTGGGTGCCAGGTTCGTGTGGCCCGGTCTCAGGAAGGATGTTAAGACTTGGGCCTCTACGTGTGTGGCGTGCCAGCGCGCCAAGGTGCAGCGCCACGTTAAAGCTCCGTTAGGGCCTTTTTCTGTCCCTGAGAGGCGTTTTGAGCACGTTCACGTGGATCTTGTCGGTCCTTTTCCGCCGTCCCGTGGCTTTACTCACCTGCTGACCATGGTGGACAGGACCACACGGTGGCCCGAAGCAGTTCCTCTATTCGTGGGTGTCTCGGTTCGGTGTGCCTTTGGACATGACATCTGATCGGGGCCCGCAATTTACCTCGGAGCTGTGGAACGCGGTTGCCGGAAGCTTGGGGGTTAAACTTCATCGGACCACTGCTTACCACCCTCAAGCCAATGGACTGTGCGAGCGGTTTCATCGCACCATGAAAGCCGCCCTCCGTGCATCTCTAGTGGACAGTAGTTGGGTGGACAGACTGCCGTGGGTTTTGTTGGGTCTGCGTTCCGCCCCTAAGGAGGACCTGCGCTCCTCCTCGGCTCAGTTGGTTCTGGGACAGTCTTTGAGGGTGCCGGGGGAGTTCCTGCATAGTGGTTTGGGTCCTGGTGTGGTCAGGAATTTTGGAGTCCAGGGAGAGGCTAGGTTTTTCTCTCCTGTTGCTGCGCACCACTGTCTTCCTCGGTCCTTCATCCCCAAGGACCTTATGTCGGCCAAGTACGTTTTTATTCGACACGATGCGCACCGCTCTCCTCTGCAGGCCCCTTATGACGGTCCCTTTCGCGTGTTGGAGGTGGGGCACAAGTCCTTTCTTATTGAGATGGGGACTGGACAGGACAGGGTTTCAGTGGACCGTTTGAAGCCCGCTCATGTGCTTCAGGAGGACGGGGTAGAGCTGGCTCGTCCTGCTCGCCGCGGCCGCCCGCCCAATCCGGCCCCAGACATTGACCCTTTGCCTCTGGCGAGCCCACCGCAGGTGGTGGTTAAATGTAGTCGGAGGGGTAGAGTGGTCAGGGTACCTACGCGGTTTCAGTAGGGTTTGTGCATGTTGTTTTTTGTGTGTTCTGGGGGGGCCTGTGTGGTGTCACTACTTACTTATAACACACAAGTCTCCCTTATTGTGAAAGGCTGGTTTATCGTTGGGCGGAAGTGTGATGTTGTTTCCCGCTGTTTGACTGTTAACAAATAAAGTTTGGAGAGACTCCATATTCTCGTCCTTTTCATCCTCCACAATAATACATTAAAATCATTAAAAGAGAAGTTAAGGCACTGCAAGACAATTCTCAAGACCCCTCCCTCCCCCCCCTGCTCCTCCCCTGCTCCTCCCCTGCTCCTCCCCTGCTCCCTCCCCTGCTCCTCCCCGAAGTGGCTTTGTTGTAGAGCCTGATGGCGTTGGGGACAAAAGAGCTTTTGAGCCTGTCCTTGGAGCACCTCAGAGAGAGGAGTCTAAGGCCCTGTTTATACTGAGACGCTGCGCAGACGTTTCCAGGCTATTAACAGAAACGACCAGGCTCCTAATGCAAATTTCTCTGCGTTCACATGAGGTTGAAAAACGATGTAGTTCTAGCGCCCGGCCAGTAGTGGGCAGAGAAACTTTACAACACGACACACGACCCCCAGCCCCGTGCCCAGCCCCCCTCTCGGCAGTGTACTCACTTCCTGTGCCAGACCCTCAGAACGTACCAACATCATTCTGCATTTTAACAGCAGCTGTGAAAATGGAAACTGAACCTAGAGCTTCGCGTGGTCTCGTTTGGACGAACAAAGGTGTAGAATTATCCTCTGTGCAGCGCTCGAAGCCCACGAAGCTAGTTAGTTTACCGGCCGCCATTGTTGTTTATGTTTGTTCTCCGCTACTGCGCATGTCCAAATTTACGTGCGGGGAGCAGCGGGGAGGTGGGGGTCAGAGCAGGGGGGGATTTCAGACCTTTTCCCTCTCGCGGGTGTGAAAGAGAGCCCCCGGTGTGCAGCGTATCTGAGTTGTCCCACTTTGCAGGCTGGATCTGAACACTTACGTTTTCACCCCCCTGGAACACAGTCTTCGTATGAACGGTTGATAGAAACCGACATCCAACTATACCGTTTTACTGCCTCAAGCTCATGGTGCTTCTCTGGCGGGAAAAAAATGAATATAGGGGTGGCTCTGGTTGGACAAGATTGCACTGATCTTGGAGAGCGTTCTTTGCTCCACCACCTCCTCCACTGAATCCAGACCCACCACAGAGCCCGCCTTTCTAATAAGCCGGTTCAGCCTCTCAGTGTCCCTCTTTCTTGCACTGAAAATAATGCTCAGACACTATGTAATATAATATAATATAAATATTATAATAATGCGAACAAATGGCCCAGCCCTAACTCTCAGCTTTTTCTTCAAAATTTAATTTTTAACAATCCCAAACCACCTTTCTACGTGACAGTTTGTGTCCCTCGTCTTTATCATTTCATTTGACTTCTTCTCACTTGCCGCTTCTGGATCCTGCCCTTTGTCCAAGGCACATCTCCTCAAATCCCCAAGAAGAACCCAAAGTAGCTTTTGAAAAGGACGTCCAAAATGCCCGAGCAGTAATAGGAGTTTGACTGACTGTTTGCTGACTTTTCAGCCTCCTTGAAAATATTAGGAAAATGAAAATAAAAAGGTGATCCTTTCAAAACCTTTCCCATATCTTTTACCATGTCAACCTCTACCTCATTGCTGCTTTCACCCAACAACTGATTCTCGTTTTATTCTTTGATGGCGGTCTCCAGATTGGACATGTGTTTTAGTTATTCATTGATTTTTGACAGGAAAACGATACACATTGATCGGAAGATGGTGACCGCTGTTCCCAATGTGCAGTTCTGAATCCTGGCAAAGACAAAAGTGGCAAACATCTTTTGGCCTTTGTCAGATGTTTTTTGTCTAATTGAGATTATGACAGATTTCAGAATATGTGCGTAACACAAGTTCCATGGCAGGGTTCCGGAGCATATGGCCATTGCTCTCTCCAAATTGCTCATGGCACTTTCTTTATGAAATCCCAGGAGCACTCCCTGCATTGATGCCCAGCAATAGTCTCTATTTGTTTTTTTTCTTTGTTATACTTGTGAGATGCCTGTTGAACTGCATTGGCCAAAATGTGATTGGGGGTATCGAATGTTCATTTGTGACCATTTCACTCACAGGTAGTGGGGGAGAGTCTTTACCACTTCCAGGAGGAGTAAGTTTTTGTTTTGTCCTGGAATTTTACAGGCAACATTTCCTGTTGCATAATTATCTTTGAAGGAAAGAGGGCAGTATGGATTTTAATAATAAATAAATAATTGTAAGTCACATTGGTCCATTGGGGTTGTAATTGAGTGCTATCATCTGCTGGTGCTATATTCCTCCATGTTTTAAGATGAAGCGCAATTGAAAATGTTCTCTTTACTGCAGGGCTTTTTCAGTAATTTGTTTAACTTCTCCAGGTCTCATCTTCCTCCACCAACTCCTCCTCTCCAAGGCTCCCTGCCTCTCCTTCCACCGACTCCTCCTCTCCAAGCCTCTCTCTGTCTTCATGGTCCATGTCTTTATCTCCTCCACTTCTATAATTATCTACATCTCTAGCTCTTTTTGGAACACAGCTACCCGCCAAATCTCTCAAAGTTTGACTATTTCCATTCCACGTAACGCTTAGCCAATGACAGTTACATTTCCAAATAGAGCTATGGATTCTTGAGACCATATCTCAGAACTGTATGAGGTGTCTCAGTATTCCGACGTGCAGTGCCCTAGCTATAGAGTCCCTTCCACTAGAAATTTTCCATGGATTGCTCCTGCTCCTACATCCTTTCTTTGTCCTTCCCATATTTAATTTGATACCTTTTCCAGGAAAAGATTAAAGAAAACAAAGTCAACATTAATAATACACAGTTAATATTAGTATGGCCCAAGTGGGCTCTCTTATTCTGAAACCTCACTGCTCTGCTCCTTTGTCAGCACAGGATGTAGGGGGCGTCGCTGGACCCAGACTCCACCTGTCCTCCTCAGCTTCAATGAATCACAGCTGGCAGTCTGTCTCTCTCCTCTGCTGACCAGACCACCTGCTGCTCCACTTTTTTCTTTGTTTAATTTAGTTGATTGTTCCACATACTGATGCACCTCACACACCCACAACACTACACACACCACTGATACAAGTTAAAGTACTTGTTAATTAAATACTTTAAAAACTGTATTGCTTGTGTGGTTTCCCCTTGTTGTTGCTCCTGAGCCAGAGTTGTAACAAAATACATACACATAATTTACGTATTTTGCTGTAATAGTGTTCTTCTAACTCGCTGTTGGCAGCTCATGTACATGTCTTTCAAGATGACATCTGTTGTGCTTTATGGGCTACATAAAGAAAATCTCTCAGTGTTATGCACTGTGTGTTCATGTGTCAGTGCGTTCATGTTGCACACTGTTTTCAGTGATTTGATCCTACCCTTGAGATATGTGTTGTTACCATTGTTAGTGTGGCAAGTTGAGACGGATGCGCTCCTAAAATAATAACACTTAAATAAAAGAAAGAAAAAGACCAGCAACGCCAGGGCAGAGTGCCCAAAATAAAATAAAAAGCGCATTAAGGCGCACAGGTTCGTTAAATCATGAGGTTGAGGCAAATACAAGTTACTTTGATTTATTATGTTCTGATGTATAGTTCTGTTATATGTATTTCACAATTATATTTCACAAGAGCCCATCTTCTGTTGCAAAGGACTCAGGAGCACAGGTGAAGACAAACAGAAACACAGAACAGGGAGAGAAACAGGAGAAACCGCGGTGGGCCATTCCACAGCCTATGGATTACAGTAGAGTAAAGCTAGCTAATGGTCAACCACAATACTGTCAGCGAGTGCAGCTAAAACCTACTTTAGAGCGAATGCTGAGCGTGCACCCTTGACGAGTGACTGTCTGACCCAAACCCACAGCCGGCTACGACACATTCGGACCCCGGCAACGAGGGCGGCCAGACACCAAAGCGACTGGACAGCATGGCTACATAACATGGACTCGCGGGGCAACTGGGCCTCACCACGGTACTGAAGCAACCTTAATGTTAGTGGCTGAAACTTACAAATGTTGGAATTACACTAAAACTACCTGGAGCAGGAGAAGGGCTGGCGCGACGACACACAGGAGACGGAAGTGCAGAGGTAAACAAAGTAAAACAATTTATTCAGTGAGTAAGTGCCCTCTACTGGACAGAAATATAGTGGCCAAGTCCAGCTTGCCACACATGGATCTATTATAATATAGTTTTACAAACGCGGTGTGCAGAGAAGAGACGCATGGAGGATTAACGTCTGCGGGAGCTTAAAACTACGATGATCAAAGAAGCAGGAGATATACACGGCCGTGGCAGGATATGGCTAAAAGCTTATGTTAGCATTAGCGTTAGCCGCAGCGCCCTATCTGCATCAAATACAAAGAAAACAACATTACGCTCAGCTCACGCTGCTGATAAAGTATTCCGTGATTGTTTTGTGGGGATTCTGTGTGTGTTTTATTTGAGGCTTTTTCCCTGAATAAGTTTAGTTGAAACTTGTGACATAGTAGTTGGACGGGTCAGAACATCCTGCCTCGTTCTCATTATTGTCAGCGTGAAAAAGTTACGTATTGTTCACGTGTGAGTCTGTTGTGTACAAAATACACAATGTGCCTCCTGTTGTGTTAACGCTGTCTTTCGGTACGTGTGGTTTGCGATGTTGACACTTTGCTGCTATGACGCCGGACTTTTGCATAATTATTTTTCTAAAAGATTGTTGTTTGGATCGTTCTTTTACATAACTGTGGTCCTCCATTAGCCTGGCCTTAGCCATCCGTACACTCCGCTCAATCATAATTTCACTGCATGTAACGTCTGGGTCTGGTCCCTATGTTAGCGAATACAATCGGTTGAATTTCGACCGACCAACCCGCGAGCGCGGTGTTGTAGTTAATTGTGGGTGACGTCAAGAGTTTGTGGCGAACGGGAAGGTCGTAGTTTGGCAATGGCAAAAAATGCGATAGTAAAGAATCCAGTCTGGTTCTATAAA